GTTACATGCAATTTGATTGGTCCAATCGCTTGTAGTTAACCAATCGCTGGGCCGTATATAATCGCGCTAAGACTTCCGCAACAAATAATGCCTTCAGTGATCTGATTAGTTGAAGCTTTCATACACGTCCAATCGCAGGGCTGTTTACAAACGGAAAACTGAGAGACTGTTCGGGAGAGCTCGTGAAAACTCGACGATAAGGTACCTGACCGCCCCTAAAAATTTCTCAACGGACTTAGACGATTCACAAAAATGATCAATTTAAGAAATAAAACGGCGGATTTCCGCGGATCCGCGGAAAATTGCCATGTATGGGGATGTCACACGACAAATCCGTCACTTACCAGACAGTGCCCAGTTGTTACGTGCTTCCGTCGAGATTCAGTCCGTCGAAGAAGCGGGACAAGCAGCTGGAGTCATGTCGAACGACAAAGGCATTATGTGCATGAGCGTTTTTTTAATGTTCAGGAAAAAATTGAGAGTATGGGAACATTCCTGAATGGTGACGAGAGAGGGTGGTATGAACTTTCTATTCTGCAAAAAGAACTTGAGGTCACGGATTTCTTTAATAGCACCATGTTTGCTAATCAGCTAATCGCTTTCACAGTTAGCAAATGTAGCATGAGTTGAAATGTTTCGTAAAATTCCAAAACTATCCCCTTTTGTTCAAGTCACTTTTTATACTGTCCACACGTCATGACTGTGCGCGCCACGTCCGGTCTCTCGTCTTAAAATGAGCGACACTGGCTTCCTATTGGTCAATGCCAAACAATCTGTTGAAGGACAAAGGATATGTCACACCATCTGGCAAGACGAACAAAAATTCTGACATGCCAGACCTTTGCCGTCGTGCAGAGCACCCTGTATTTACTCGGGATGGCTCGATCTGATCAGGCGATCGGAAATGGTGGTCATTATGTGAGATTCAGGTGATCTGGTATTAGGTGAAAAATGTCACGTTTTATGATAGACCATCACGTTACTGAGAAATCAGGGAAAGATAAAAGTGGCTTTCATACTTGCTGTGGTAAAAACTGTACAAGTGCTAATCATGCTTAGCAATTGTGACACTTATGTTATTTGTGTTAAAAGTGTTTAAAATTCACATTTCATTAGTTGGAGCATGTCTTTTCAACTCTGTTCAACACTTTATTCTGAACTGAGGTGAATTTTTCTTTCACAACTGTGGTCAAAATACTTACCCATGAGAGCCTCGATTGGTCAAAGACTCATGTTTAAGTGGATGTTCAAAAGGAACCCAGATAAAAAAATAATGTGCACAAAATTAAAATGCTATAAAATATAAATGACAATAACAATGTGGTAATCCTTTGTTTTATTAAAGCAAATCATCCTTTTAATGTCATTTTTTATACAGTAACTTTCACATTGGGAAAGTCAATACAATTAAAAGTGCATTTTACCACTGGAACTCGAGAGGGAGCCATAGTCATTTGGGATTTAAACCGTCTAGAATTCAAACTTTACACGCAATAATTTTGATGAATAGCTGTGATTTTAACACAGAGACTAAAAGAGGCGATATTTGGCATGGTGTTTTTTCAACATCAATACAGTGTGCAAAAGCACATAAGCACCAGACACCGTCAATAACACATTAGTCAAATGTCAACGCAGCAGATAAACACTTTGCATGATTGTTCGCCTCCCTTTTGTTAAACAAAAACACTTTCCCAAACAAACCAGTCAGATGATTCAAATCCTGAACCTCTGGAGTGTGAAGATGACATACTAACAACTAGTCCACCATGCTGCCCCAGAAATCTTTTTTTTTTTTTTACTTCTACATAAGAAGCATAGATCATTTCGGAAGTACTGGAATGGCTATTTTGTGTCCTGATGCCTCCATTTTTCAATGAGTAAATGACTAAACTCAGACCTGAGAAAACGCGTCAAATGCTTGAGAAAAAGGTGAAAAGTAACTTTTATTTGTATTGACAGATAAGAACAAAACAACACACACGCACAGAGATGAGACAAAAACAACCCTTCATATGTAGCACTTTAAAAAGTCAAGTAAACACGTTTGTGGCCATTTTTTTTAATCACGTGGTTTGGGAGGACTAAAAGAGGAACTTTAATTAAACTTCAGCTTGCAATGGCTTCATCACGGTGGTCCCACCTATCATCCCGCCATCAGTTCTCATTTTATTCCTTTTTTTTTTTTGCTTTTTCTACTCAGTCTTTTTCACAGCAGCGGGCGTTTTGGTCTTGCCCATGTAGGCCCCCCAAAAGAACTGCACAAAGAGCACAAAGTAGCTGAGGTACATGAGTGATGACCAAACAATGTTATGCATGTGCGACGGGCACTCATGGCCCCGCTGCATCCACGAGTACACCAAGTAGTTGACCACGCAGCCCATCAGCATCTGGGTGATCTGCGTCAGCGTGATGAACATGGCGAAGTTGCGTGACACTTTGAAGCCGGCCGCCCGTAGCGCGTAGTAAGAGTACATGACGGCATGCACCAGGTAGTTCATGGTCATGAACCAGCCCCCGCCGGCTACCATGTCCTTGTACGAATACCAAGAGTACAGCAGCACAGTGATGTGGTGATACCAGTGCAAGAAGATCAGCTTCTGCTTCCTTAGCACGATGAACAGCGTGTCACCTGTGTACGGACAAAAGACGTCAAGGTCATATTGGCATCCTACGCACACACGCACAAAAATTGTATTTATATACTTAAACTGGCTCCAGGGTGGAATTTGGAGGAACTGTATCGATAAATTCTCTTAACGATCTTGGGAGAAATGACAATTTAATTTAAAATTGATTTAGGCTACATTATTTACACCTTCTACATCAAGGTCGTAACTTGAGGTTCCAGTGTAAATAAATACAAGAAAAGATTTGACTTACCCAGTTCTGGTGCTTTGCTTAGCACAAATGCATATGCCCAGAACTTGCTGACGGGACCGTTGTAAAAGCTCTGGTCACAAACCGACTGTTTGAGCCCTTTGGACATGAGGATATATGTCATGTAACTTCCAGTGCGGACAGCGCCAAATATACTGTTTGGAAAAGAAACAAAAACAACGGCATTCATTGAATCGTGGCGTCGAACACACAAAGCGTTTGTGTTTGCTGAAAGATATTCATTGTTGCAGGGAATTACATAACATTGCTGTAACTGTTCCTTCAGTCTACAACATCTCGCCCGCCGGGGAGCAATGGGCTGTGAATTTAAGGCCCAAATCAACACCAAGGTGTCCTGATTCAGATTTCATTTGCGTGGAGTCACGGATTCCGGAAATGAAACGGAATGAAAATGTCTCATCTGAACACCTGCATTGGAATAAAAAGCTCAAATCCAAATTGAATTTTATTCACATTCACGGTGATGGTAGATTCCTTTTGCGGAGCTGCCAATCTATTGAAATTCACTTCCAGAACAACCGGTCTGAATTTCCATATTTTTTCGATTATTGCAGTGTATTACGTAACCAGATAAAAGGGGTTTGTGATGATGTAGCGAAACACTCGTCTGACTAATTTTTGTATTTATTGTTACATCGATATATCGAGTGCAATTTCTATTGATATTGATCACGTGTCTATTGTGATACATAATATTGAATTATCGCACAGTCCTAGTTCAAAGGGTATGACATTTTAATGGTCAGCATGGCTCAGTGGTCGAGTTAGAAATGTGCTATTCAAGTGACAGCCTATTTACAGCCAATTTTAACTAACCCGTCCCTCAAATGTTACCCGAGACTTTGCGAGTGGCCTTGAGTTGAAGCAGACATAGATAAGAGGCTGCATGCTCCTTTGCTCTCTCTCGTTCAATTTTGTGAGACGCCAGACCCGACCTGTGTCCTGAACATCCACTTTTGTCCTCTATTTCTTTTGAAATTGTATTTTTCGTTTTTTGTTTTTTTTCTCTGAGTGCCAAGTGCCCCTGTCTCGGCTGGCCATCACTAAACGCAAAAGGCCTACAGCCTGATCAATGCCCAACTGTCTGCCAGGCTCACGCAAACTTGTCAGTACGCAGTGCTTCAAGAACGCTCTCACCAGCGCACCTCCAAACATCGCAGCAGACACACAGTAAGTCGCTCCACCATAACGAGGCGCACCATACCTTCCGCGTGGACTGTGAGACCACGTTTTGCTCTTTTTCTCTTTATATTTTTCAACTTCTTCCTGCCATCTCTTTTTCTCCAAACGACCTGGCCGCTGACTGCAAGACTCAAATCAGGGCAAATTTCATGAGTTCATCCGTTCGAGGGCCAACTTTGAGACAATCTGTGAGTGAAATATATGTAAAATTTACCAGATGGTGTACACATTGGTGCTGAAATTGGGCTTAAATGGTTAGGTTAGCCTCATGAGTCCCACCTTTGTCTTTTTCTGGCCCTTTTCCACCGCGCTCGTGCTTGTTCCGGGCAAGTGTCCAGATTAGCACCAGTTCTTTCTTTTTCCACCAACGAAATCGGCCCAAGCTCAAGTGCTTGAAACTGGTGCTTAAACTGGCCCCAATTATTTGTTGTGCCAGCTCGTACTTTGCAGGTGGAAAACTAAACGTGTTCTTCATCAGAACTTGATAAGCACCAACTAAGCACAGCCCTGGCCCCGTGTTTTTCTTTTTTTTTGTGGAAAAGGGGTATTGAAAAGTTTACACTATCTCCTGCAAATATCTTTCATTTTTAGTTTTTGGTGTAATTAAAATTTTATGAAAGTTTTCATCCTTTCACAGTAGTTCATTTTCTTTGCAACGTACCTCTTCCAATTCCTATGAAGATTTAAAGAATAAACATGCACATCATAAACCTGCATTGTGTACCGTGTGTGTGTTTGAATCAATCATTAAACTCTAACCTTCAAAACTGAACACAAAACTCTCCAAAAATAGCATCCTTCTAATTAAGGATTGATTTCAAGATTTTTTTGTTGTTGTCTATTTAGCCTTTTAAAATTACACAAAAAAATGGTACTCTTAGAGGAGTTTAAGTTTTTTGCGGACGTCAGATTGAAGATCCCATTGTATTAAATAAATAATACTGTACATGATTGACCCGTAATTACTTCCAGTGTGCACTCTATTTTCATATTGATCTCTTCCATTTTGCTGGAACAAAATGAAATGAGGTCATTGTGTCAGTAATTTATTTCAATCATAAAAAAAATTGGGTAATAATTACAGTTTTTGAATTGAAACATATCCCTCTGAAGTGTCATCAAATGGAATCATGTGGTGGCAAAAGATTCTTGGAAACCTCTACCATTTAAAAAAAGAGTTTACAAATGTCACTCGTTTCTTTACCCCACCTGAAAACGGCGAGTGTGAGGGACCAGAGGACCAGAGGCTTCCTCAGCTCAAACTTTTCCCGTTGCTTCATGACATGACGGCCGCCAAGGATGCAGGCGGCATAGAGGGCGGAGAAAAGGAAGGACTTCTTCCTAAATAAGGCAAACAACAACATAAATGCATATAAGTTCGAGCGTGTTTTTTTTTTTCCTTTTCATCCCTTGTGGTTTCTTTTCTGAACTCTGACTGTAAATTTCCCCAGTGTGGGACAAATAAAGGGTATCTTATAACGGCAGTGGTCAACAACATACAGTCCTTATGCAAATGCAGGTGCATTTCAACAAACTAGAATATAATTGAAAAGTTCACTTTTTCCAGTAGTGACGGGCCAGGCTGTTCTGGAACCTGTAATGGAATAGCACCTTAAGTGCTGCATCCTTTGGAACTTCCCACCAGTACAAAGCCGCCCCATGAGCATCGGCACCACCAATGTAACTCCTGCGCTTTGTCATGCAGTCAAATGGTCATTGTCTTACACTAGATTGCAACGCCACAGTCTTTCTTTTATCATCATCAGGATTTCTGATGTGTACATACAGGTACTGCAGATTGTGTATCTGCATGCTTAGCGGGAAATCAAAGTGCTTGCATCATCACCATATTGTTTATCAAACAAAACTGGAGTGACAACCACTAACATGCTACGCGGCTGAGGTGTAGTAAGCACGTAGCTCAAACTGTCCCCAGATGCTTATCGACGGTGCCGCTTTGGCTCAAATGCCTCGCAGCTGCGGCCTTCTGTGTTCAAGATAACTAACTAAGCAGGTGGTAGGACTGCTCCACTGAAAGCTGACGGAAATTAAGGGCAAGCTACTGAAAAGAAGCACTAAACAGCAAAGAACAAATAAAGAACATATTCTTGGAAATGCAGGCGTGGAAGAGATGTGTGAACTGTCAATCAGATAATGCAAGAACATAGCAGCATTCACGTGGCAGCAACGCCTAGACTGGACTGCAGGATGACATCATCGTTACTCAATGCTACTCGGAGCGGTAGCGGGGTGGGGCTCCAGCAACATTGTTGTACTCTCCTTTCAAAGCAGATACAGAGTCACCTCAGCTCGTTATATTTTGCATCCGGCACCGAGATTATGATCATAGAAATATTCTACCTCAGTCATACACACACTACACACTACACACACACTACACACACACTACACACACACACACACTACACACACACACACACACACACACACACACACACACACAGTTAAATTCTCTCATGCATTCCAACAGCACATGTCCGTGAAACAGACTGTTTAATGTACATAGTGGGTTGGGAGGGAGGTAGGAATCAAGGAACTACATAAAATAGAAAGGATTGATTAAAGATAGGAACTATGGAAGGAAGGAAGCAAGGAAGGAAAGCAAAAAAAAAAAGATGCTGGAATGAATGATGAAAGGAAGAACCGAATGAAGGAACCAAATGTATGAAAGGAAACAAGGCAGGATGGAAGGAAAGAGGGAAAGTGGAAAAGGGGGAGGGAAGAAGGAACTAAGGAAAAGAGCGGGAGTAAGGAAAAAAAGGTGGTATGAAAGGAAGGAAGGCTGGAAAGTAGGTCCAGCATGAAAGGTGAAGTCAAGTGAAAATATTTCTTTTCAATATGTTCCATGTGGCGCCACTAGTCTAAAAATGGTGTATTCTGATTAATGTTACATTTAAGGAATATGAATCAATAAGCAAAGTCCACCTGTTATTAATTCTTCTCGGGGTGTGGACATTTCGCCACTTGCTGTCAACTGAAAATGACATTCAAGTGCCCAAGGGCTCAGCTTGTGGATTTCAAGACTAAACTCAGAAAACAGGCGAGCGGGTCGTGGTCATTACCTGAGCCCTTAGGCCGGGGGTGACCATGAAGCATTATTTTACTTTTTTTTTTTTTTAACTCATTCTACAAACGCAATATTAATCTGAATGCCCCGTTCAGACTAGTGAGTGCGCATACATCATATTGTAAAGAAAAATTTGGACTTGACTTTCCTTTTAAGTAAGGCAGTGGAAGCTTAACTGCCTCATGCTCTCGCCGTAAACTAACACTGTGCATCTCAACCGCTGGCTAGCATGACCACTATAACTGGTCTTTTGACAGCATAATAACTCTGACTGTTAACTCAAACACTTGTCTGCATTGTTGTTTCTCTTAAAAGAAGACCATGTATTGCGCTTTCATAAAAGAAAATGTTGAAATAGAGAATTTTACACTAACAGTCGTTCTATATGTCAAAGGCCATTTAACCCATTTACACAAAAACTAAAAGTGTGTCTACCTTTTGCATGATGTCCTCTGACTGTCTCCATTGTGTACTAAACCATGACCTAAAAACCAGTGTACATAGCAAACTGTCATTTGGGGCATACCGTTAAACTCCAACTGCACATGCGATGATTTAATTAACACTTTAGCGCTGTGAATTAGCATGTAGGTACATTTTATGCAATACGTTTCTTTCATTAGTCAAGTTCATGAGAAACAACTTATCCCTTACAATTTTGATCAATTGTTTCTACGTTGGATCCCTAAGGTGTAAAACTGCACAATCGGAACGAATGGCATCTTCATGCATTTTCAAGACATGCAGCAACATTATTTTATAACAGATACTTTTTTTTTTTTTTTAGATATAACACAGACTTAAATGACAGGATATGGTTGGAGCCACATGGATTTTTTTCAAACTATTGTGGGGGCCTATAAATGGAGCCCCCACCGCCCCAAAAAAATTATATCCATGCGGTACTGTTGCTTGATATAAGGTAAAGCGACTATGGATGTCAAACAGAGATAGAAATGAGAACTTCAAGCGAATATCACAGAGTCTGAATGGTTGGATATGATGAAAACACAGAGCTCCACAACAGTATCTCATATTTGGAGAGAACATCGTTGGAAGAGAATAATCAGGTTCTTTATCACACTTAATATAAAAAAAAAAGTGTTTTAAAACAGTGCAGCCATGTCGGCACTAGTGTGGTACAATCGATGTTTATGCTGGCTATGCCCAAAGGCGGTGTCCTTCTGGGGAAAATGCGGCAAGTCTTATTTGAGAGATTCTGGGCTGTCATGTTTTCGTGTGAGGTATTGTATCCCCACATAAACTGTTTTTTTTTTTTTTTAATTATCAACCAATCTAAAGTGTTAAAATATCTTTAGAGAAAATCTCCTCACTCTATTCGACACTTTGTCTGAGGAATCCTGTAACTCCACCTCTTCTTCACGCCGCAGGAGCCCTGTGGCATTTTATCGCCTCAAGATCAAATGGTGCAACAAGAACACCTCACTTGACAAGAATGAGTGAGCATAGGCTAAATTCATTTGAGCATGTTAAAAACTGATGTCATTCTTCCCTGCAGACATAGGCCCGTCAGCCAGAAAGGTAAAGTTAGTGTACAGATTAATTTCTGCCTCTGAGGCAACCAAGTCAGACCTTTGAAACACAGCTTCGAAAGACGCCGTAGCCACAGTCATGAGCTTTGCTTAACTAATAAAGTCTTGTCTCTTGCTAAAGGGCTCACCGCGACCGCACACGATGGAAATGGGTGTGGCTTGCGGCGTCGACATGCCCATAGCATTTTCACCAATGAACAGCGTCATTAGCATTTTTTGCTAATTTTATTAGCAAATGAACGAGATTTGGGGGAGGAGAGTTGTGTTGAGGTGCAACAGAACGCGGCAGCAATATAAAGGGACAATAAAGTCGTTCCTAAAAAGTCGTGGTTCTGAAGATGTGAGGATTACTGTACTCCAGACAGCAACACAATGCACTATAATGCCTAGCCACATAACACAGCGATTTTGTGCACAAGTTATTCGTGCAATGTTTGACACATCTCTGTGAATTTCCACTCATCACATCATATAGGGGGGAGAGAGACAGAGAGAGACTTGCAGCATTTGCAATGTAACGAACAGCGGCATAAACAAGACTGGATAACACATTGGTAACTACGCAAGTACGTTGCTGATGTGCAAATTGGAGTATCGTGCCAAACCCAGGAATACCGTCAACACGCTCCCTAGCTTTGCATGGAGGTGTTGGCTAACCTGCTGTGAATCTTGGATCCGTATTAGCCGGAAAGGAGATTTCAGCAGTTATACAATCCTGAGTTTGCTGTCTGGGAATGAGTCCGCAGTATTTTTGCCAGACACCGTGTGTTTACAATGTGCATAATGTACACATTAATGTAGACACAAGCGAGACGATTTTGTCATGTGGTATTGAGCAGAGGGAGATACAGTGTCAATAATAGAGAGGCATGATGAAGGAAGGGACCAAGAGGTGGCAGGCATGAGAGCAGGAAGCATGTGCGTGTAATCCAATTAGCAAAGCACCCACGGCCCTGATTACATCACACAATTAAGAGCAAAATAACCTGACCAACTCGGCCTCTCCAAAAAAGGTAGGGGGTGAGCAATATCATTTGAGCCGGTGACATCAAACTACGGGAATATCTCAGATGTCAAACACTTCAGAATCCTGAAAGAATCTCAAACTTACTTAGCTGTACATCAAGCAAGAACGAGAAAGAATTCCACCGACAAAGCTTCAACAACTGTGACTGGCAACTGGTTAAGAGTGTACCCCACCTACTACCCGAAGAAGTTTGGGATAGGCTCCAGCGTGCCCGCCACCCTCATGAGGATAAGCGGCTTGGATAATGGATGGATGGAAGCTTCAACAATTTGTGTCCGCAGTTCCCCAAACCTTTATTGAATGTTGTTCAAAGGTGATGTAGTACAGCGGTAAAAATGACCCTGGCCCAGCTTTTTCAGAACATGGTACAGCCATAAAATTCAAAGTTACTGATTATTTGCTAAAACAATACAGTGATCAGTTTGAACAGACAGTACACGTCTTGTCTTTGTAGTGTTTTCAATAAAATATTGGTTGAACATCATTTGTAAATCATACTTTGTTTTTATGTTGAACACAAAAGCCACTCCAACATGAACCTTCGAGGGAACATTTATCCTCATCCTGCGGTTTGTCATTGTCATTTGATTATTGGATGGATGTCTTTCATGTGTTCATCAGTTCAAATTTGTTGCACCCGCATCCTGGAACGTGACAAGACTTTTTTATTCTATTTTGTGATTGCTTTTGTGTCCTCTAAACAAGGTTGGGTTGAGTGTGTCAAAATAAGAAATGCAAGACAACATTCGCACGGACCTGCATTACTGTGACAGAACAAATGGCTGACACTTGGATAACTGGAGCAATAAACAAGGTAAGACTTCATTTTTGGAAACTTGACTTCATTGCATCAGATTGAGAGTACATTTCAAAGAGCTTGATACTATCGCTATGCATTAGAATAGAAACTGGAAGACAGCATGCGTTCACAGCTCCAATGGTGCAATGCCTAGTCCATTGCTTTAGAGGAGTGGTCACCACCCACCGGCACCAGGTAGCTCCTAGGGGCCACATGAATAATCCACGGGTTTGTTCTTAAAATAGCTCACTAGTGAGACACTATCAATTTTGTAGTGGTGATAATCTTTAAAAATAATAATAAAGAACTTAATTTGCTGTAAAAAAAAAAAAAAAAAAAAAGTCGCACCAAGACAAAACTTTCTTCAACATTAATGTGAGCTATTACCTGTATAACTTTGTGTTGCTGGAACGAGGTGGAAGGAATTATGAACAGGTCAAAACAGCAGTGAATCTTAGCATAAAACCTGGCTTACATTTAGGGGTGTGTAAACTTTTCAGATCCATTGTAAGTGCTGCCTAATTAGTTGAGCCCAGAGTCAGAGTATAAATTAGCTCAAAGCTTCATTAAACAGTAAAAAGTTGGACTTATTTTGACTATTGGTGGCAGCACTTTATCACCAAGCCACAAAAGTCGCATTAATTAATGCAGTGGATCCGAGCAAGCGGTGCATGCAGCGGAAACATTACCATTGTGAACGTCCATAATTTGTCACCTTGAACACCTAATACACTGGTACGAATTATCAAAATGATCTAACACAGCTAGGGCTGGGAGGGGGGGGGGGGGGCTCAAGACTAGCTCTTTTAAATTTTTAAATTGACCACAAAAATTGGTTGACACAAAAAATTTGCGTTGAAACCATCAATAATTTGTTGATGACACACCGTTCATCAGCACCAATTGTCTGACTTCCATGGAGCAATAAAATAATGTTTTATGCTCTGACTGCAAAGCAGAGCCAGCAGACAGGAACACAGTAATAACGCGTCAGCATTCCATGATGCTTGTGGACTATGCACTGGAGTGTATTTCAAATGATGCGTGTGTGAGTACCTGTTCCCTTGAAGTAGACCTCAGCTTTCGTCCTTTGAAAGTAGCAGTAGTAGTAACATACCTGTACGTACTAGTAGCACTAGCGTTGAACAAGCCTAAGCCTTGTCAAAGTAGTTCTCATCACTACCTTATGGGAGCAAAGTGTCTTCCACTAAATTGTTGTGGCCATTTAAAGTTGTGTCGGAGCAAGTTAAAGCTTCTCCAGCTAACCTAACTTAAGAGAGTTTGCTCGAAAGTGCGTCGCTTGTAAACACAACGATAAACAGTGATGAAGTGCGAGTGTAAATTGACACGATTATTGTGGGAAATGTGTACCAAAAATACACGTGTCTGTTGTGGCAGAATGCTTTGGGTTTTTTTTCCCCAAATAAGTCATCATGTCCACAGTCAATGAAACATCGCAGCAGCTTAAAAAGCCATGCGAGGCACTTGACCCAGCAACAGAGCGTGACAGCAGTCCTGGTTAATATGAAAATATTGTTTACTTTTAAGTGAGTAGAGTATAAACAATATACATAAACTCTGGCAAACTTGAAAAAAGAAGTCAACTGAGCGATGTTGGCGGAGATGCTGGTAGGGGGTGATGACCAAAGTATTCGATAGGATAATCGATTCCAAAAAGACTCGTTTGTGACAGCCCTAAAGAAAGCCAAATAGGCCTACTACACACTCATCCAATAATGTGCTGCCCATGTGCTCCCCCACGAAGGATTGATGTGATATGAAATCCAAAAACGGGAGACGCACTCCAGGCATCATTCCGAAAAAACTGGCCCACTTCTACCCAGCTGACTGAGACGGCCGGCAGCCCAGCCTGCGGTCATCGAGGTTGAAGCCGTCGTGAGTGATCAATGTCATTTTGACGGCTGCAGCAGCCCACTCGCATTCATGGTTATAACCCTCTGGAATGACATTAGCAGACGGTTTTCCTGTCTACGATTGTCAATGTTAGATTACAGTACATTTGGGAGACAGCTTTAAGCCATTGCATCCTTTGCTAGTGTTAGCCTGGAAGATGACTATGCAAAAATTCTGCTTTTAAAGGGGAGATATGGAAAAATGACGTTGACCGTAAATTCGAAAGTAGAATACGCTCTTGAATAGAATAACCACCCTCCCATCCCACCAAATGGCCTTTCAAAAGCAGTTGTGTCACACATGCATTATGCACCTGTCCAATTTGTTGAATCCATGCTCAGAAATGTACTGTAACTGTTATCCGCAAAGCAATATGACAGATTGGGATTTCTCACATTCAGACACATTTTTGTGGAAAGAAAAGTTCTCTTATATTGCTAACAGTTTTAGCTGTCAACACTCGGCGCCACAGACATGAATAAGAAACAGATTAATTTATTTCCATCCATGCAAAAAAAAAAAAAATACACTTCAATCATTATTTCTGATACTGAAATAAAAATGTTTACACCAAAGTGATTTCATGGACTGAATTTTGGCTATAAACGGGGTCTCGCAGGTTAACAGGAGTTTCATTCTTTCAGCTGCAATTTAACCTAAATTTGAACCACCACAGTCTAAATTTAACTATCAAAGCCATAATTTGAGTAAAAATTTGGATGACGCCAATTCAAGTAGGGCTGGACTATTTTGAAAAATATTTTATTTTCCCGTTCAATATTCTGACGGTGATTTAATACACGACTATTTTGACGAGTTCCTCTTCTGGTGTATTAAAAAAAATACTACAATAAACAATATCCATTTTACGATGCATAAATGTTTTATTATGATAGGTTAAGGTTTACACGACAATAAAGGCAAATGAACCATGATTTATTTCGAAAAACAGTTGATCTACTTTTTTTAGTTGTTAACTTACAAAAAGGCACGCACGATGGCCAACTTCACAGTATTCTTCCAAACAAGTGTGGTGTGAATATAACATTTTAAATCATAACCATATTAAAACAATAATGCAAGCACATGTCTGGATTTACCATTTCTACTTCATGAAACAATGATAAAACATGTGGACTGCACTTCTTATCCATATTTAAAAAAAAAAAAAGATATACCTGTACAAACATACATATAGAAAGATGAATGAAATAGCAGTTGATTCATTTTAATTGATTATTTGTTGATTAATCAAATAAATTTGATAGCTCTCCTGCTTTTCCGGGTGGCCGGGTGGTCCAGTGGTTAGCGCGTCGACCTCACAGTGCAGAGGTACAGGGTTCAATTTGGGTTGTTCATCTGTGTGTGCCCTGAGATTGCCTGGCAACCGGTTCAGGGTGTCCCCTGCCTACTGCCCGAAGACGGCTGGGATAGGCTCCAGCACCCCCCGCAACCCTTGTGAGGATAAGCGGATCGGAAAATAGATGGATGGATGGACACTGTTTTTCCATTTCTAAAACATTTTCATCTAGTTAATGAACAGCCAAATAACCATCTTTGTCTTTGTTGGCCTTGATGAACTTGGAGGCACTTATGTAAAATGATAAGGCCCAGTATTGTAAATGACGTCTGTGAGACTGCCCTTTCATCTATAAGCTATGTAAACTATATGCGTGATCTTATCAAGAAGAGGTCATGTATATGTGGACGATGAACTGAATTAGAGTCTGTGGCTTGCTAAATTACGTTTTCTTGATACTTTTTTGGGGTATTGCCTCATGTCCATCCCCTTTGTAAATGAAACAACTTTGAGAGAAGCCCTGACCAACAATCCACAATGCTCTTTGATAATCATTTGTGACTGGTCGTGCCGGTTTGACCATGGAGATAAGGTTTCAGGGCTCTTGTTATTCACGCTGATGGACATGTATTGTTGCTACCCTGCCTCCTTTCCCCTCTAGCTTAAGTAAGAACCTCACACTTTCCCTTGAACGACCATGTGGGTGACATCTACTACGAGTGAAGGCTGCATAGCAGAGCTGCGATCTGATTGGCCGCTGCTCTGTCAGCAGACATCAGTAGAGGCGTCTGATTGGTGCTTCCTTAGTGCCAGGGGATGGCAGGTTCTTGTGCTGCTGACCCATGCGGCCTCATACATTCATTTGCACTGAAAATGTGATATAATGTACTTCATGTCGATGGCAAATCCGTGCAGTTAACATTGAAGAAGTCAACAACAGCCACAGCAGAAGACTGTGAGGCACTACATCCTGTGGCTCTTGTATGTATTTTGCGGCAGGAAATGCACAAATGATAAAATAAAAAGATACATTTGAGGCTTAAAAGAAAACGTTGGGACACACAAGTGAATGGACTCCACAATAAAAATATCCAGAGGCCTTTCGATTGGGTTTCACAACACCGACAGCCGACAGAATGCGCTGCGTTTAAACCAGTTTGGACGCTTTCATCCACCCCACGTTAAGCTAAGCTTGGTATGGCCGGGGACAAGATGACCTTAACAGCATCATCATGGTGCCTGATGCGTGGAGGGGGAGAAGGGCGATGGATGTGTGTCTGTGTGGAGGGGGCGCGGGGGGAGGGGGTAAATCACAGAAGAATCAAGGGCATCACACGGCGGGTTCGGACGTGAGGCGGATGGCGCGTCGTATGGGGCGTTGCTGTGCTAAATTCGAAGCGTATAGGTAAACGTGTGCTTACCAGTTCTCCTGCATCCATCGGATGGCCTCCTCCTCGTTAAACTGCCTTTCGAACTCGTACTCTTGGAGGGCTAACACCGACATGCTGGCGGCGGCTGCGGGGAGGCGAGCTCGGGCGTCAAGTTCAGCGGTGTGAGAGAGCCGGTCGTAGAAGTCAGAGGAAGAAGAGGAGAAGCTCTGCTTTAGTTGCAGCCCGCCACTCACATCGCCCTAGCCGCCGTCAAGACGTCTCGGTCGCGCTGGTGCTGAGGCCGTGAGTCGTGAAGAAATGACTGGAATGAACGCAGCTTCTCTTCTTCCTCAGCCCGCCGGCCGGCCCTCCTCGGCATAGCCACGCCCTCCGCCCGTTGAATTGATGGTATCCCGTGGGTCCTAAAGCCTACGGACAGGACAAGTGCTACTGGAAACGGATGCATTTCAATTTCCAAATGTACTTTATGACAGGGGTCCCCAACCTTTTTTGCCCCAACAATGCTAGTGGCGAGAATCCGCTCCACAGAAAAGATAATTGGCTCCTCGGTGCCTTCACTGCACAACATCGCACCATCCCACTACCACAGCACAGCTTCTCTTCTTCCTCAGCCCGCCGGCCGGCCCTCCTCGGCATAGCCACGCCCTCCGCCCGTTGAATTGATGGTATCCCGTGGGTCCTAAAGCCTACGGACAGGACAAGTGCTACTGGAAACGGATGCATTTCAATTTCCAAATGTACTTTATGAGACTGCTAAAGAGAACAACCGAAGGAAACACTGCTAGTGGCGAGAATCCGCTCCACAGAAAAGATAATTGGCTCCTCGGTGCCTTCACTGCACAACATCGCACCATCCCACTACCACAGCAGAGCTAAAAGTCAGGACTCCTTACATCCATCCAGGTAAAGCACCCTTTCTGCTACTTGCCTCGGGAAGGCAGTACAGCCATCCCAACTTTATACATTAACTTAGAATAACGGCACCACAACGTTAGAGTAGGGATTTTATTCTGTTTTTATCAGGCATTGTTGCACTATTCTGTCACTGACATGCACTTCATTTAAAATTCAATTTTAGAGTGCCTCTCGTTGCTCTGTTTTCATTTGGAACTATTTTCTGTTTTGTTAAATCGATTTTCAGCTAAATATTTTGCTCTGTGGCTGTAGCCCAGGGGTGTCAAACTCATTTCACATGGTGGGCCACATACGGCCTCGGTAGATGTCAATTGGGCCGGACCATTAAAATGATACAATACTTTGCTATAAATAACCAAAACAATATGTCTTTCCTTTGTTTTGGTATAAAGAAGCACAAGAACATTAGGAAAATGTTGAAATTTAATGAACATATCTTTTACAAAACATTTCATGAAGCACCTTACATTTCCTTCGACAAATGTGCAATTTACTTTTATCATTCACATATATGCATTGCAACTGATCCCACTGATTGTACAAACTTTAACAAGTAATTGGTATTGAAAAATATAGTAATGCACTTTAAGATTAAACAAGATTCATAAAGAAAGCAAGTTTTAAAGCATTTACACGTGCATATAAAATCTAAATGTAATCCCTGCCTACACCTTACAAACTAAGGAGAGTGCTATTAAATGTGTAAATGTGAGAGTGCTATTGATAGCGTCTGCTGTCATGGGTCTGTCTCAGTGACAGACTGAGGCTGCTGTTGTCTTCTTCTCTGATCAAAACAGTGTCCCCTTGCGGATACTCAATGAATTGCACCTGATTAAAAATATTAATTCTGTGTCTTTAATGCATTTTTTTCACTTTTACATTATCCTGCGGGCCTGATTGAACCTACTTGCGGGCCGGTTCCGGCCCGCGGGCCGTATGTTTGACACCCCTGCTGTAGCCTGTCCCACTCTTCCCACACAAGGATGCATGATTTACCCAAAAACCTAGAAAGAAAACGCGTGTGGAAGGTAAACCGTGTTTTAATCAAGTATTAATTAAATAAATATAGCAGCATTTCTTTAAAAAATGAATTCATTTTGTGTCCATTTATTTTAAGGTGGGTGCGATCACACACCCACCCCCTTCGGAAAGTGGAAAATATCCCATGCCTGAGGTAAATTGTATTGGACTGCATCGTGACATGATTGTAAACTGGGTGACAACATGGCACGGATGCATGCCACGGTCCAGACTTTGTTCTCTGTAGCTTTGCAGAGCATAGCCCACCTCTCGCCTAAATTCAGCTGGGATACGCTTAAAAATAGTCTGACTCAACACAAAAAGTCTGTTCAATTGGCAAGTGTTTGTAATACGAAAACAATTTCACCAAATGACATCACTTTTTTTCCGTCAGTAATGTGACTATAATCTGTATTATCCATCCATTTCCCCATCCACTTTATCCTCACAAGGGTCGCGGAGGGTGCTAGAGCCTATCCCAGATGTTTTCGGGCAGTAGGCAGGGAACACCATGAACCGGTTGCCAGCCAATCGCAGGGCACACAAAGACATCCAACCACCCGTGATCACACTCACACCTCGGTACAATTTAGAATGTTCCATTCACCTGTCATGCACGTTTTTTGAATGTGGGAGGAAACCAGAGTACCCAGAGAAAACCCACACAGGCACGGGGAGAACATGCAAACTCCTCACAGGAAGGCCGCAGCCGGGATTGAACCCACAACCATACATGCATTGACAGACTCAACGACTGCATTGTTTATCCCAAACCAGTACTATGCAAACAGAGTTGACATGTGTCATTTTCTTAGACAAAAGCAGCAAAGGATTTGTTTCTGTCACAGAGTGTGTTTGAGCTCCTGTGGCCCGCCCAACGTGTGTGTGGAATTCTGTTATCTTGGCATGGGAATGTCACTGAAAAAGTCACGCATACTATCACACACCGTCTTCCTACAGATACACAAATTTTATTCCCTTCACTACCCCAGCTCATTTACAGCCTGAAGAGATGGTTTGTCAACAAATTACAGTGCAAACAGTAAAAGTGAAATGTGAATCATACCCAGTCTCTTGCAATCTTCCACATACAGGGTGTAACTTTCAAGTTAGAAAAAGTGTCATCAAAACTTAAGTGGCAGTTTACACGAGAACATACCTAACATAGTACACTGTTATACTGACAACATGACGAAGCAATTGACTGTCTTATACACAGTGAGACAAAGAATTGTCATTCTGATGGCACTAGCATGTTCAATGATGCACTTTTTTATTTTCAAGAGCTGAACAAAGCATTTTGAGAACCATGAAATGTTGCTATTTGTATGAATTGTTTTGAATATATACATAATCTTACAAATGTCAAATCTGATCTAATAATAATAATGATAATAATAATAATAATAATAATAATAATGATGATGATTATAAATCCAACCCACTCATTGAAAAACGTGCAGTGCCACACAAAGCTGCATGAAAATAACAACATCACAGTGAAATGGTCAATTGTGAACTCCATCCTCTAAATACGTGCTACGTATGAGAGCCACACAACCAAGCATTCAGCAGAAATACTGGAAGCAGCTGTGGCAGAGTGGAAAATTATCAAGTTAAATCTGCTCATTCCTGTCATTTCCGTGTATTTTTTAAAGGTTGCCTTGTCTTTAAGAGTGGGATGTTTTTCTATTCATTTTTATTGAAAAAAATTTTTTTTCAATGTCTTGGCATTCGGGCTATGAAGGCCATATCTCAGTGAGCAGTGAGGATTTACAAGTGGTTGCCCCCTCAGTGAATGTTGTTTTTTCATCATTGTTTGTTCAGGGTCGCAAACAGTTCCAAAATGTTCACCAACATTTTTAATGGTCTCAAATTGTTTCTCTTGTCACAAATAATTTTTGAACATGGTCAAAATGTGACAAGAATAACAGTTTGCAACCATTAAAACTGTTTGGGAATAAATGGCGAACGCTTTTGCAACTGTTTGCAGCATTGAATGAACGCAGCCAAAAAAACAAACAAAAAAACAAACACAAAACTACAAAATGTGCACCATACGGAGCTACACTGTAGGAAATTGATGATTATAAATCCAACCCACTCATTGATGGACGTGCAGTGCCACACAAAGCTGCATGAAAATAACAACATCACAGTGAAATGGTCAATTGTGAACTCCATCCTCTAAATACGTGCTCTGTGACTATTGTATTTATATTGCACTTCATTGAACTTATTGACCTTATCCATATTTGTATTTATATTGCACTTAATTGAACTGTGTTTTCTTTTCTCTTCTTTCTACCCACAATCTACCCACAAGCTGCTGAAGGCTGTAAATTTCCCCAGTGTGGGACAAATAAAGGATATCTTATCTTATCTTATCTTATCTTAAATCTGATCTTTATACACCCTGTGACACTGATTATTGTCAATATTTCTTTCACCTGCCCTAGCAGAGCGCATATTGGGCTTTTGATGACATATAGGTTGGATGTGTTTGAATGAGCATTCATACTCCAGACGCATCGCATACATGTTTGATTTTTATCCATCTTTGAAATAGGCCTGGGTCGGATTGGAAAAAAAAAAGAAGTTCTGTTTAGGTGTAAAGAAATGTCCTAATGAATAGGAAAAGACATGAACCAGAAGAAAACCATCCATAACATGAAACAAAACCAAACACAAATCTTAACAAACGCACAGATCATGACAATACCCCCTTCTCAAAGGACGGATCCCAGACATCCCGGAGTCAAACCAGTGAATAAAAATTGTCAAAGATAGGGAAGCGTATGGGGCCCAAAGGTGGAAACATGGTTCATCTATTTAGGCTAGTCTGGTGGGCATCCCGGGTGCTAGATGTGAGGTGCCTTACTGGGACAGTGAAACCACAAAAATGTGTAATCGTCTCATCGCATTATTACTTGTACACAACAAATGAATGGATTACTAGTTTTGAAATCAATTAAGTCAACTTTCATAGTTTGTCAATTCTTTTTCAAGTTAGTGTAAACAGGGTAGCACAATTATTTAAAAAAAATATCTCAACGTTATTTATTACACCTGAGAATTTGACTTTGGGTACAGATTTTAGCCAGGTCATGCAAGTTGACTCACATGATTTTCTTTCGGGGGGGGTGGGGGGGGGCACATAAAATGCCCCCCGGGCCTTGAGAAATCTGCGCCTTGGTACGCCATCCAAAGTGATGTGTGCTGAGCACCATCATGCTGCCATCTAGTGTCCACAATACGTCCTGCAGCCCCATTGACATAGCTCCCAAATACCCTTTGTCTCCCCAACCCCCAAACAAATTGGATTCATAATGTATGGTTTACATTTCAACGCAACTTATAGCATCTGTGCCATGTCCGATCTTGTGTGTAATATGTGCCAATAAG